TTTCACAATAGAAGTTCTCGGGGTTGAATGGAACCAATGAGGCAATTCGGCAACATGTTCTCAACAATAAACACTTTTGCAAGGTTTTGAAAAAGGTACATATTTCTTAACTTTTAACACTACAAAAAAAAAATGAGAGGTCGAAAATTGGTAAAATCTTATTCATAGTTTTTAGGATCACTAAGTCATCCCTAATATATGATGCCTATATCCTCGTTATTTATTCTTTTGGGGACGATAAAATCAATGTCGTCCTCAATACTAGGGATGACAAAGTGTCTCCTATACTCCATTTCATGTCATTATTAGGTACTTTTTGGGGACAATATAGAGACTCAAATCGTTTTTAGAGCAACATGTCGTCCCAATAATTTCACCTAGAAGTTAATAGGTTGTCCTGGAAAATTTTACTACCGGAGAAAATATTAAGATCCTTCAACATTGTTTAAGTACAAAAAATGGATGTCTTATTGATTATATATTTTTTTTAGGATCAACATTATGATATGATAAGTATAGCTTTTAATCGACGATTGTTGGAGGCCGCCGTCTACTATAGAGATGGTTCTATCATCGAGGAGTTCAGTAAACTTTCACATGACCTTTCAGATTTTGGAGCTAATCACAATTGCTCGATAAGTGTTTTTTTGTGGTGTTATTTTTCCATTACTGATTTCTATATCTAATGATTTTATCTTGTTAATATCACTAGTACAAGGAGCTGCCATGTTATTCATGACGGCCTATTTGCAGCACGAAGAGATCGTGAATTTGCTAAAAGATGTCACAACAAAAATTCCTGTGGTTGAATGGAACTATGAGGCGATTCGGCAACATGTTCTCAACAATAAACATATTTGCAAAGATTTGAAAAAGGTACTTATTTCTTAACTTTTAACACTACAAAAAATGAGAGGTCGAAAAATGGTAAAATCATTTTCATATTTTTTAGGATCACTAAGTCGTCCCTATTATGTGATGCCTATATCCTCGTCATTTATTCTTTTGAGGACGATAAAATCAATATCGTCCTCAATACTAGAGATGGCAAAGTGTCTCCTATACTCCATTTCATGTCATTATTAGGTACTTTTTTGGGACAATATAGTGACTCAATTCGTTTTTAGAGACAACTTGTCGTCCCAATAATTGTCACATAGAAGTTAATAGGTTGTCTTCGAAAATTTTACTACTGGAGAAGATATTAAGATCTTTCAATATTGTTTAAGGACAAAAAATGGATGACTTACTGATTATATATATTTTTTAGGATCAACATTATGATAGGATGAGTATAGCTTTTAATCGACGATTGTTGGAGGCCGCCGTCTACTACAGAGATGGTTCTATCATCGAGGAGTTCTGTAAACTTTCACAAGACCTTTCAGATTTTGGAGATAATCACAATTGCTCGATAAGTGTTTTTTTGTGGCGTTTTTTTCCATTACTGATTTCTACATCTAACGATTTTATCTTGTAAATTACACTAGTATAACGGGCCGCCATGTTATTCATGGAGGCCTATTTGCAGCACAAAGAGGTCGTGAATTTGCTAAAAAATTTCACAACAGAAGTTCCCGGGGTTGAATGGAACTATGAGGCGATTCGGCAACATGCTCTCTACAATAAGCATCTTTGCAAGGATTTGAAAAAGTTACTTATTTCTTAATTTCTATGAAATCGTTTACTAACCAGGGCGAATTATTTGTCAAAGTCGTTTTCAATATCGCTATCATGATCATAGTCTGTAGCCTTAGTTCTAAACGCCAAGTTTCTGCTACGTTTTTCATCTTCTTGACCAACTTGCTTTAAGACATGTTCATGGCTCAATAGTGAAACAATCAACTCATTAGTAGGCAAAGTAGTCAAATTTTTTCTTCCTCGATAAGGCTCTAAGGATTTTTCTCTTTAGATCCTTCGTTAAGTACGTCTTTCCTAGACCCTTAAGCTTGTTTATTAGGACAGTAAACCTAGTGTACATCTCATGAATCCCTTCATTCTTATTCATGGTAAAAGCTTCATAATCATGAACTAGGAGATCAATACGGGATTGTATAATGTTAGATGTACCTTCGTAAGTGCTTTCCAAGGCTGGCCAGATTTCTCTGGCTGTAACGCAGTTTTCCACTTGATCGGCCTTGTTTGGATTCATCGCAGATTGTAGCACGTGCATAGCTCGCTGGTTCAATTGAGAGCTCTTCTTCTGCGCAGCTGACCACGTATTTTGCTCTTCGTCATTCATTTCAATTGGGCCATTCTGCACAACCAACCAAAGTTCTTCGTCAACTCCCCACATGAACTGTTTCATCCTCTTTCCACGTGGTGTAGTTCGAACCGGTGAAAATCGGTGGATGATTGATAGTTGCATGACCGAAGGAACTAGAAGCCATTGGATCGTAACCCTTGGCAGTAGCTAGCTTCGTCAAGAACCAGGCTTTGATACCAATTGAAGATTTAGATTCGATTGAGAAATTAGGTCAGAAACCAGAGGAAAGGGAAAAAGACGATAGAGAAGTGAGAAGGGAAAGAAACACGACGATCTCGAAATCGAATTTGCACATATCAAACTCAGCGACCGGGCTGGGAAGTAAGTTGGGCCCAGATTAGACTGACGGGTTAGAAGGGCTTGAGCCCAAATGCCCACAGTCTTAACAGAAGCTGGAGCCCAAACAGAACCTCTGTTTCGATCAACGAAGGACTGGGAAACAAAGTTCTTGTCAAGAACAGGGGAAGAACACAGCAGAATGTAAATGCAGAAAATGTAAAGAAGACATGACGTTTTTAACGTGGTTCGCCCAAGTGCAATGGTGTACTTCCACGTCCCAGAATACAGTCTGGGAGACCCTGGTTTAATTTTTGTTTAGAGAAATTGAAACAAGACCAAAATACAAACGATGCAGAAATAAAACGAGAAAGAAAAAACCCTGATCACAATCTGATATGTCTCAGCCTTGAAGAAGCTTGAACCTTTGCCTCAACCTTCGTCAACCCTTTGTATTTCCTAAGCTAAGCCCTCTACCACTCTAGCTTCTACAAAGTGCCCAATACGAGACAGGAGCAGGGGAATATATAATGATAGGACACAACTAGCCATTAGAAGCAATCGGGGAAACAATTTGAACTGCAGACGAAACTTACTTAATTAACTGGTTACTGAAATTGAGCATTGATCAAGGATGCAATCTCTGACTTGGTTTCCCTTGATGACTCCAACACTTATCATATCATTGCACGTTGCATGGGAAACCTAATTTATGTGATATGCATCTATTTTGAAGAGTACACATACATAGACACGTTCAATTCAGGGAGCTCAGTAAGGGAGGGAGGTGTGGAGGAAAGGGGTCTTAGGACCCCAATTAGGAAAAATGGTGCAACAAAACCCTTTAGATACATAGAGTTTAGTATGATCTTTCAAGTTTAGAATATCATAGTTTTATCGATGTTAGCTTACCTAATAATCTCAATCAACTCAAAGTTCATTAGATATACAAGGTTTAGTGTTCTTGAATTTTTAATGACTCCAGTGAACTCAAAATCTCGCTACGTCAATGTGGGAGCTAATAAGTACAAGTCAAAAAATGATAATTGTATTAGTTAATTAGAGGTATATAACCGTACTTTGACATCTTTCTCCAATTTAAAGGTCATTTGTTTTTTTGAAAGATCCAATTTAAAGGTCATTGATTGTCCATTTCCCATCATATATCCATAATTAGAAGGTGCCCAGTAGTGGTTAACTACACCCACCTTAACTATGCAAGCTTTGACACCCAAGAACCAGAACTCGTTTAATACATGTATTTAATTTAATGAACACGTATTCTAATCCACACCATGCAACGACTGCCCTAACATCAGTAGTGAAGAGAAATACTAGAAGGTGATGATTTTGCTGGTGTTTTAGATGGCAAAAGAGAAGGCTTGATAATGAGTCAATGACCAATTCGCTCACTATCTCCTAATAGAGCATGAGCATCCTACTAGCTCTTTTCCTCTTCAGGCCACACACCCCCTTTTCACTTGGCTTCAGAAAAAGAAACAATGGCCGGCCATAGTTATTCTTGCCAGTTGCCACTTCCTATTGCCTTCTTAACACTAAATCTCTGCAAGCACGCATTGAAGTTCAGTCCCTGCTGTGTTCTTCGTGCGGTGGGATCATCACTCAACAGGCTGAGTTCGTAGTCTAGTTTGCGCCTCCTCTATCTTCGTCCGGTTGTGATCAGGAATATCTACAGAAGTAAAAAAAGCTCCGCCGGCAGCTTCAGGCTTCTACAGGTAATAAACTCAGAATATTAGTAATCAAACAAAATTTAATATAGATGGAATGAACGGTAGTTGAATTAGTTACCTGTTCCGACCAAAGAACGCCGAAAGTGTATAGAACATCTAATCTGAAACGGTTCGTGTGACAAGCAGCATCAAATGCAAACTTTGCCATTTTCCAATGCCTTTGCTTCCTCATGAAGCTCGTTCCAGAATAGGTAGGGATGAAAATTTGAACCCGTCCCGCCGGGCAGTGACGTAGCCAGACTTTATATAGATTGGGGTCCTAAAAAAATTAATGATGATTTTGTGTTTGATTGATATAGCTTGTGGGTGAGCAAAACTAACAATGTCACCCGTAACCGCGACACTCAATGCCAGAACTCAAAAGAATATCTCCCCTGCAATATAGAGAATATAATCTTAAGATGACTTGTCCAGGGTCATATTTTCACGAGATTCTTATCCGAGCCAGGGAGGTAATTAAGGTAGGGACTGAGAACGTTGATAATGAAGTTAAACCTAAAACCCACTACAAAATAAATCCCTTATAGCAGGGGTTTTTTGGGCTTTTAGCAAGGGGAAAATCCGTCGCAAACGACCCCGTCAGCGGTTGCAATAACTGCTGTAAAACCGCCGCTACACCGACCGCCGCTGATTTTTCCCAGCGGTCAGTGCAACCCCTGGTGGAAGTCTTTGCGTCGGTTCCTGCAGGGGCCACAACTGCTGCAATTTTTCCTGACCACCATCGATCCCTGCAAGGGTTTGTGACGGTGTCAAACCCATGGTATTTTTAGCAGCAGTTGAAATAACGTCCTAAGACATTCACAAGCAGCCTTTTAGAATTTTGCAGAAATACCTGCTGTCCAACTTCAATTATAACTTTTAAAAGTGACATTAACTATTATCCATACCACATAACTGCACCAGTTAATTACATTTAACATTATACATGATTGTACATGTTTGAAACTCAACAACCAAAAATTTGCAAAAAAATTCAAAATGTGAAAGATAAAGATCTAGCAGGATCAACCCTCGCTTTCTTCTGAATCATCCAAATCATGCACTGGATGTTAACCTGTTACAAAACCAACCAAAATAAATTAAACTATGGTAACGGCAACTAGTCGAAGAAACAATCATGACAAAACAAAGTCTTGATCTCAAATTCTGGATTTCAATTATATTGTACAAACAAATACCTTAATCTTAAGCAGAAAACAGAACCCATAACCAAAAACTGAATAGGAAAGCTTGATTGGCTGAATTGAAGAGTTAGAGTGAACTAAATATAGACACTGAAGCTAGTTTGGCTGATAGTGCATTGAAAGACAAAAAAAAGGAAAATTAAACTAAAGCTTGTTAAATGTTCCCATTGCTCCATGCATCATAAGTACAAGATGAACAACACAGTTAAACTAAAGTCTCTTAAATGTTCCCACTGCTACTAGCCGACCATTTTGTTTTTCAACCAAATATCAACCTTCTTGTGAAACTAACCAGAGTGCTAACTAGTAAGTAGTAACAAGTTAATGGTTCGGATCATGACCAAGGTGAGATAAATCATTTAAAATCAAATTACCCTAGGATGCATGTGCTAACAGAGTAGGATGCATGTACTCTTATAACATTAGTAAGACCACAAAGAGGAGACTAAACATACCATCCACTGCTGCTGGTGAAGTGAACTCTTTATTTCAATGTAGCAGGACCTAAAAAAATGACGAGTTCGAAATCCAACGAGTAAAAAATAAGGCTAAAATTGAATAGAAAGATCTATCTATACCTGGTAGCTAGATCTTCTCGCTTTCAGTATCCCATGGTCGATTTTCTTTCATTGTTGTTGTATCCCAAAGATCGGTAGCCCCATTCTTCCTCTCCCCTCGACTAGAATCAAAACCTAGAAAATAAGACAGAAGGGAAGTAAGAAATTTAAGCTAAAACAAAAATAAAACATGCAAACAATTGATTAAGTGTGATGCTTATCACAGTTAGATTGAACAAGGCCATTTTGGGCATTTGTTCTGTAGCTGATTCCTTTCATACTTAAATCAAAAGCAAGGCTGCCACTTAAGAACTTAAGTAGTTCAACCAGTAACTTCAGCTGCTCTTCTTCCCCACCTGCCAACCAAACCAACCCGAAATATCATCATCATTATCATCAATTGTGTTATCGTTTTACCAATCTTTCACCCATATTCCCCCAAAACACAACCTGTATTACCTTTGTTAACAGCGTCTACTGTTGTGCAATGAGTTGGAGGCAAGCAGCAAGACTTGGAGTGCTACTAAGGCACACCAGAATCCCACTCAACAGAAGAGACTACAGCAACACAGAACTATCAGTTTCCATGCTGCTTATTGGCTTGAGAAAGCTGTCATTCCATGGCTTCTAGCTTCGGCTTACACAGCTCTTCTGGATAAGCACTGATGGAAATCCGGAGGAAAATGAGATGCGGTCACCACTAGTTTCAATTCATCATCTGGAACAGCAGAACCATCTACCATTGGCTCAGCAGCTGTCTCCATAATTATCTCATCAACTTGCTTCAACTGATTGAATGGTATGTGGCAGCATTGCATCAGGAACTTCAACATCCTGAATTCGAACAAAAAGCAATCATATTTAGAAAGTCTTGAAACCATACACCAGATAATTTGAATAAACTACACCACCATAACAGATTTATCTCAGGGTGATCTCCGCCGAAATCTGCAAATCGATTTCGAAAGACTTCTCTTCATGCCATGTAAGGGATGCTTTCCTACTATATGAACTCCGACACAATATAATCAACATTCAGAGAGACACGGAGCTCAAGGATTGTAGAGCCGATTCTTTCATTGAACTTGAGAGATTTAGTTAACTCAATGGTTTCAGGGAAAATTTACCTCAACTGTGCCAAATGTCTGTAAGAGAACTCTTTCTTCTTCAAGCATTCAACATTGGGGCCGAAGTAGATCAAAAGAAAGAAGAGGCTCAAGCTTTTCCAGGAATCAATCCTTTCAAAGACAGGAACCAACCACTTAACTTCACCCTACCTGCTACCGGATAAAGCTTATACCAACAAATCAGTAACACTATCCAACTAAATCTAGAACCATAAGCATGCTATATGCTGGTAAAATAAATCCAGAAGATCAAGGGTAATGATTAACTGCCTGCTTTGGCTAGAGACCTACCTCAACAAAGTTTAAACGATGCAAGAAGCCACCAATCTACAGCAATAGTGTTTGGCATCACAACTCCATCGACATGCATAATGCCGGTGAACTTAGGGTTAGCAGCAGAACCAATTGAAAGAACAAATTTGCAATTAAGAGCAAAGAAGAACAATGGATCTATAATCGGACCCAAGGGAGAGGTCTCATTCACCTCAAAGATCTGAATCCACCCAAGTCGGCGAGGGACGGAGCCATGAGAGCCGCAAGCAGCGATGACGTATTGCAGCGATTCAACGAATAGGTTTTGTTTTCTTCGAAGAAGTAGAAGGATTTGTTGTTAATGGAGGATTTTGATGGTGGTCGAGAATTTAATCGTAGCAGGGCAGGCGAACTAGGCTTCGATGGCGATAAGGAATCGAATTTGTGGGTTAGGGATTTATTTTCGGGGAGAGCAGAGCAGAGGAGGTTTAGTTCCAAAAATACATTTGCTTTGATCCAAAAATTTCAACGATTTGGATTATAAAAAGATGAGAAAATATGCAGCGAATTCCAACACCGCTGCAGAAGTCGCTGCCCGAAATAAAATTTTGAAAGTCCAGCAGCGGTTAATATATTCGCTGAAAGAAAACCCCTGGGCTAGGCCCATTTCCTTGTAGTGACCCCACATAGGCAAGACATGCTACCGCTGCCATTTCAAGCCAAAACATGGCGCCAGAGAAGCCAAATTTTGGGACTCCAGAAAACTAGCCAAACTCAATCCAAAATAGATTCGGGAGTCTTCTTAAATGCCAAGACATAACTACTTTGACGCCATCTGAAAGCATATATAATTTCTTACCATGGAGGAATCTCATGTGCTTTATTGCTATTCACAACCCTTTCCCGCTACTCAAAAACTGTCAAATCCTTATTCCATGAGAAAAAGGCACGGAAGCAGGGAAGCAATATGGATCAGGCCCAGATAATCGAGAAGGACCAATCCATCAACTATACAGCAATAGCGGCCAAGTCAAAAGGCGGATGGAAGAGGCTGAACAGGGACACGACCCAGAGGGAGGTGGGGGCCCTGGATGGAAGTGAGAATGGCAAGCGAAAGGAAAGGGAGGAAGACGAGATACTGCTGCAAAAGGAGTCTGTGGAAGGAAACAAGAAACAAAAATCGGCTGCTCGAGGATTCGCGCCGAACCCAGAGGCGGACCTTGCTACAGGGCAAGGCCGCCTACCGCAATGAAAATCATAAGCCTCAATTGCCGGGGACTGGGGAATCCCGAGGCAAAGGCGTCTGTTTCCCAGCTTGTTAAGCAGGCTGTTCCCCAAGTTTTGTTTCTGATCGAAACGAAACTGTCTGAATCTGAATGCAAGAAGTTCCAGAGAAGATTGAACTTTAGAAATGGTTTGTGTGTAGCTGCTCGCAACACAGCAGGAGGGCTCGCTATGTTTTGGGACGAGGGAGTGGATTTCACTCTGAAGACGCTGTCCCTGAACCACATTGATGGAGTCATCAGATGCTCGGAGAAGGATGTAGAATGGCGTGTCACTGGGTTTTATGGTTGGCCAGAGAAGGGGCAAAAATATCGTTCGTGGGAGTTGCTTCGCAATCTACATAGTCAATATTCACTTCCATGGCTTGTGGTAGGAGATTTCAACCAAATAGCAAACGGAAATGAGAAGAAAAGCAGTGTGCTACCTGATGAAAAGGAGATGCAGGAGTTCAACAATGTTTTGGCCGATACCGGGCTTGGAGATTTGGGCTTCACGGGCTACCCGTTCACCTGGGATAACGCGAGGAAACAAGAGGCCTTTACTGAAGAAAGGCTGGACAGGGCCGTGGGAGATGTAAATTGGGCCGAGATTTACCCGAACGCCCTTGTCAAGCATCTGGGCCGTTTTGACTCGGATCATCGTGCAATTCTTGTGGATACAGAGGGCGGAGACTGTGAAGAGATAAGGTGGGGCTGGCGATTCAAGTACGAGAGTGTTTGGGAGGACGATGAGGAATGTCGAAGGGTGATCCAAGAGGGATGGCAGGAGAATGGGTACGCCGACGTGAATCAAAAGCTGAAGAACTGTGAAAGGAAACTCAGGGGCTGGAGTAACGAGAAATTTGGGAAGGTTAAAGAACGCCTGAGACAAATCAATGGCGCGTTGGAAGCTATGGAGAGTGAACCGAAGGTCGAGGATTGGGTGGATAGGAGAAGACAGCTGGAAGCGGAAAGGATCGAGATTCTTCTGCGAGAAGAGAAGAAATGGCTCCAAAGATCTAGAGTCTCTTGGTTGAGAGGAGGAGATAGGAATTCGAGGCTTTTTCACAATAGAGCCTCGGAGCGCCGGCGTCGAAACACTATTAAAAAGCTGATCGACAGCCAAGGGCGGGTGCATCTGGGTCAGCAGGAGGTCAGCTCGTGCCTGAGGCTTTTTTACGAAGACCTATTCCAGAGCAGTGGGGAACCGGACAGCGACTTCGTGGTGGCCTCAATTAGCCAGAGGGTAACGACAGAGATGAATAGCTGGCTTACCAGAAGCTTCACAACTGAGGAGATTGAGGCAGCGTTGAATCAAATGGGTCCTCTCAAAGCCCCAGGGGACGACGGCTTCCCAGCTTTGTTCTACAAAACCAATTGGGAGGTGGTGAAGAACAGGGTAACTGGGGAACTCTTGAATTTCCTCGAGACAGGTGAGTTTCCCGTGGCACTCAACCATACTCTGCTCTGTCTCATCCCTAAAAAGAAGAACCCCAAGTCGCCAGCGGATTTTCGACCCATTAGCCTCTGTAACGTGCTGTACAAAATTATGGCAAAGGTGATTGCGAACAGACTTAAGGTGATCTTAGACAAGATCATATCCAAAACTCAGAGCGCCTTCGTTCCCGGGCGTTCCATATATGATAATGCCTTAGCTGCCTTTGAATGTTTTCATGCCATGAAGAAGAAGGATAAGAGGACAAAGAGGGGTTTCTTTGCGGCAAAGCTGGACATGGCGAAAGCTTACGACAGAGTAGAATGGTTCTTTTTGGAAAAAATGATGCGCAAGATGGGATTCGATGAACGTTGGATTCGTTTGATTATGGCCTGCATTTCCTCGGTGAGCTACTCAGTTCTAGTCAATGGTCATAAAACAGAGGCTTTCATTCCTACTCGGGGATTGCGGCAAGGGGATCCCATCTCCCCTTACCTCTTTCTTATATGTGCAGAAGGCTTAACGGCTTTGATCAACAAAGCAGAAGAAGAGGGCAGAATACATGGGATAAAGGTATGTAATAAGGCCCCAACTGTTTCGCACCTACTGTTTGCTGATGACAGTATCGTATTTGCAAGGGCAAGTCCACAAGAGAGCGAACAACTGAAGAGCATTCTCAAGACCTACGAGAAGGAGTCTGGACAAATGGTTAACCTGAGTAAATCGGAACTCACCTTCAGCAATAATGTGGGGCAGCAGCGAAGGGTAGAAATTGCTACAATTCTGGGTATTAGAGAAGTTTCTAAACATGAGAAGTATTTGGGGCTCCCAACGGTGGTGGGAAGGTCGAAGAAGGTCGCCTTTTCCTATATAAAAGAGAGAATTAGAAGCCGGATACACAGCTGGAAGGGCAAGCTAATTTCGACGGCTGGAAGAGATGTCCTGATAAAAGCAGTAGCGCTGGCCCAAGGAAACTTTGCCATGTCTGTGTTCAAGCTCCCGGGCTGCTTGGTGAGTGAAATTAATAGCATTATCTCCAACTACTGGTGGGGTGAGAATGAGAACAAGAATAGAATCCATTGGAAAAAATGGAGCTATATGTGCAAGAGTAAAGCAGAGGGGGGTATCGGTCTAAAGGAGCTGGCAAGTTTCAATAAGGCCCTGCTCGCTAAGCAGTTGTGGTTACTTCTTCAAAAGCCAGACTCCCTTGTAGGTCAGATTCTTAAAGCCAAATATTTTCCCCACTGTTCTGTCCTTGAGGCGCAGGTTGGTTTCCGGCCGAGTTACACATGGAGAAGCCTGATCTCAGCTCGGGATTTGATCTTAAAAGGAAGCAGGTGGCGAGTTGGGAACGGCACAAGTATAAAAATATGGGAGGATTGGTGGGTGCCAAGTTCGCAGAGGAAGGTTCTGACGGAGGGTCCGAATGGGAAGATGGGCTTTGAGTGTGTGGCTGATCTAATTGACCAGGATCTTAATAGGTGGAGGGTCGATGTGCTGAACTTGCTGTTTTCACCAGAAGAGGCGAGGGCAATTCAAGCAATTCCCCTGCAAGGAAGACCGACAAAAGACTCTCTCTGCTGGAACTTAAATTCCGATGGCAATTACAGTGTAAGATCAGGTTATAATCTTGCTACTCAAGAACCAGAAAATGAATTCGAGGAAGAGGAGGAGGACGCACAAAATTTGCAGGCACCATCAAGCTCGGATTGGGAGACCATGTGGAAAGTGAACTCTCCACCTAAGGTGAAGTATTTTATTTGGCGGATCCTGCATGATATTCTCCCTACTAATATGAATCTGGCCAAGAAAATGGAAGAAAAAATGGAACCGGATTGCCCCTACTGTGGTTTGACAGAGACGCAGGAGCACAGGTTCTTGGAGTGCGGCTGGTCTAGGCGGGTGTGGCGACGTTCGAGTTGGCAGGACCAGTGTGGTTTTGTCGAAGGAGGAAGTATGATAGATTGGTTAAAACAGGTCCTAAGCTCGACAAGTTCGGAGACTGCAGGGGAGATTTGTACACTCTTGTGGTTCCTCTGGAACGAGAGGAACAGCCAGCAATTTAATGGGAGAAAGCTTGATGAGGAAGAAGTGGCTATGAGAGCCCAAAATTGGATCCTTGAATACAGACATGAACAACAGGCAGCGGGAAGTAGAAGAGAGCAAGACTCAAGGAGTAAGAACTGGCGGCCTCCGGGGATTGGATTACTAAAAGTGAACACTGACGCGGGATGTTTGGGAGACGAAGGTACTGGTCTGGGTATGGTTGTCAGAGATTGGACGGGAGCTTTCAAATTTGCTGCAGCAAAGAGGGAAGTGGAGTGTTGGAGTCCAGCAGTAGCGGAGGGCCGAGCGGTGCTCTTTGCGATTGAACAGATGAAGGAACAGCAACTTGGACCCTATGAAATTGAATCAGACTGTCTGACTTTGGTGAAAACCTTGAAACAGCAGAGAGTGGATTTAACAGAACTTGGTATGATCTGTGATTCTATTTTGCAGGCAGAGGGAGTGGAGGAATGCTATGCGTGGAAGCACACGTACAGAGAAGCGAATACGGTGGCTCATAAACTGGCGCACGTTCGGATAGGTTCAAATCATTGTAATAGTTGGATAGGCATTTCCCCTTCGTTCATTTTGAGCGAAATGTACTTGGATTCTAGCCATTTGGCTTAATTAATAAAATTACAGGAGGTGCGGTCCCTCCTTTCCCTCAAAAAAATGAGAAAAAGGCACGGAAGGATGATAATTTGGAACCAATTATCAACTTTTGTGCAAAACCTCCATTAAAAAAAAAAAAAAAACTTGTGTGCAAAACCATAAATCGCTGCAAAAATAGGGTGTCATTTTCACT